AGGTAACCTGGACCCATGCCATGTAGGGCTTTAAAGGTGATAACCAACACCTTGAATTGGACCCAGAAGCAAACTAGCACCCAATGCAGCTCCTGCAGCAAAGGTGTTATATGTGCCATCCTAGGGACATCCAAGATGGTTCATGCGGCTGCATTTTGAACCAGCTATAGCTTTTGGATACTCTTCAAGGGTAGCCCCATGTAGAGTGCATTGCAATAGTCTAACTGAGAGATATAGAAGAATAGAGATGTGTCTGTTTCCCAATTTTGGTGGATGGAGAGATGGATTGTTCAATTTGTCTGTGAGGAGATTGATGAATAGATGAAAAAGGAAGGAAACTAGAATGCACCCTTATCTTACACCTCTTTTGGCTTACCATCTTGTAAATTTGAGTAGCTCTATTTTCTTTTGTATTTGTTTTGTTGCCCTACTCTATGTTTATTGGTGTAGTTTTCTGGAAAAAGGAAACAAGCTTCTCGATAATGTGGTATGCAGTGAAGACAAAAATTACACAAGAAGCATAATCTCTATACTTTTATATTTTTAATCTAAAGCAAAGTCACTGTTCTCAGTTAAGGTTTCTGCTTGTAATATGGAGCTAATACTGAAATACCAGAAGTAGTTCAAGAATTACTGAACTGATGCATGTAAAGGATAATATATTCAGAAACATTTTTATGGCACTGTTTATTTTTTATGACTTCTCTTAAATTTTTCTACAAAATGTTATGCAGGATTTTATTCTTTTGCAGAACCTTTTTATTTTCGATATTGTTAAGAATATACTTAAGTACAAAAAGCTGTTAGTTGACCTCACATTCATAATCAAATATATTAAGGTATTTTGTTTCTGAAACTTAATTACTATTGAAATTTGCTGGGTATCTTTCAGTTCAACATTGTGAAATTGGAAAATAACTCAGTTAAAATAGGATTAAGAACGTTACTGTTTTGGCCATGATTTTATTAGCATGGTTTCATGTACAGCTGTTTTGTTTCTATAGCCTCTGCTTAAATGGAAGCCACCTCTGGGAACTTGATGGTCTCTACTGACATAGGCTTTGCATAGCAGCTGTACCACCCCAGAGATTGCAATGAGTGGAGGAGGGGAACAGCCGGATATTCTTACTGTGGGAATATTGGTAAAAGAAAGATGGAAAGTGGTAAGTATAAAATAGCCTTATTCTTTTTTCAGATGTTTGATTATATAACACTCAACCAAATAAAAATAAATCAAAATATAATATATATAATCTAAGAGAACAGACACGGCTATATACTGCGAGATGGGAGAAAGTTGTGCATTAAATGTCTCTTAAATATGGTCTTGAGCAGCATGATAAATAAGTAATCAAGTTAGTTTGCTTGCCCAATATGGTGGCTGCAAAGAAATAATGAAAAAAAATTTTTTTTACCAATGCTTTTCAGGAACAGATTTTTATATGTTACAGGTAGTTAGCTACATTATCAGTCAGTGTTCTGTCCCTGAAGAAAACTTCACTGTTCCTCATTTTCTATCATCCTTAGATGATATTTTGAAAATGCTCTACATAAAGATAATTCTGCCACCTATATTAGGCTAGTATGGTGCAATTTTCCAAGCATTTTTAATAGTCCAAGTAAACCTCTTTTCCCCTCTATGTTTGGGATTGACCATCTGAACACAATCTCCTTGATGTCTGCAGAGGCCTCTTGTTTTTTTCTAGTGTACATACATGCTTTTTGTCTGTCTGTCTCTCTCTTAGATACACACACTGATTTATAGGAGGAAGTTGAAAAGTCTAGCAGGGGATAAATGAGTGGAGGGAACTTAAAGGAAGAAGGAGGAGCATGTATTTGACTGAATGGATCCATGTGTGTCTGAGTGAGAAAGGGATATTTAGAGGGAAAGATGCAATATGTATTTTTGAGAGAAAGAAATTGGTGCTTGTTGTCCTGTTTGGGTATGAGGCTTTTTTATGTGTAATGGAAAATGGTTATAAATGTACCTACTCATCAAATGTATCTACTCAAGAAATAATAAACCAAATAAAGGCATTAGGTAAGAAAAAGAAAAAGATATATAGGTAAATCTAGTTTACGCCAACACTTTTCACTAATCCTCTCCATATCTTTCTACTTTTGCCTCTACCACTTCCACACATTTCATACATTGCTATTTATAGTTTAAATTTCTCTCCTCTATTTTTGGGATTCTTTTTAACTTTATCTAACTGTAACTGTTTTGGTCATCCCCTTTCTTTCATATATTTGTTTTGCAATTTGATCTTCATTCATTCTCTCTGTATGAATAAATCACCTCAATATACTTTTTCATTTTGGTCACTCACTTTTGTATTCAATATTTATTGAGTACCCATTCATTCTTGATGCTATTTCTCCTTGTTTTACTACACACACTTACTTCTTAAGTACCACATTCCCACTGCATTCAACTTTTATTATTTATTACAGTATCTATATACTGCTGATGTCACCTACTGACTTCCCAGGGGTTTATAACATCTTCATATAAAACTATAAACAAATACTTAAAAGCATTAAAAATATCCATATTCTTCCTCAGTGTCCAAAATCCCAGCAACATTTATAGATTGAAAGCTTTGCAAAATGCCTCTGTTTTCACTACTCTCCTAAACTTGAGGACTCCATCTGGATCTCTAGGACTATGTATGAGAAACATTGTCTCCCAAACCCCCCTTCCCCAGACCTTACATAGTGGAAGAACCTCAACATCTCAACATAAGAAGAGTGCACCAGCAGATTGCTTCTAGATGAAGTAGGCAGTTCTACAGGTATTTAGGTTCTAAGCCATAGAGCATTTCTTAGGTCAAAATCAGAACTTTAAATTGTACTCAGAAGCCTACTGGCAACCAATGCAGTGCTTTGGCAACCAACACCCATGTTATTATAGAAAAATATGGAGATAATCTTGACAAAGGGATGCAGGAGCTGTGAAGGGAAATATAAAGACAACTCAATCCTGAAAAAGAGGAAGGGGTGAGAAAGAAACTGAGGATAACCCCAGATAACCAAGATTCTGTTTGGTATAAGAGACAGTAGAGAGAACCTTTCAATAATCTGTTATTATACCTTACAACAATAAAGTAGCATTCCTGTAATCCTTGCAATGTCTGTTTCCTGACCTGGCCTACCACAAAGCGCTGACAGTTATGCTGTTATGGCCCTTCTTAGCAGCCAGCAGGTGGGAGCTGCCTTTTGCACTAATTGTAGCTTTCAGATATTTTTCAAAAGCAGCCCAATTTAGAGAGCTTTGCAGTAGTCATCCTAGCAGTGATAAGGGCATAGATAGCTGTCACCAGAATCTTCTCCAGGTAAGGTACCATTGGCACCAGCCTAAGTTAGGCAAGAAGTTTTAGCCATGGTTTACATCTGCCTATCCAACAATAGCTGTGAATCAAGAAAAACTCCCAAGTCTCACACCTGTTCCTTCAGAGATAATGTGGAAGTACAAATAAATCAGATATTAACCAAGGAGCTACCAAAATTAATGAGAGTAGAGTGGAATAACTAAGACATATACTGATCTGATAAAAAGGTCTTTAAACCCTTTTAAAGGCTATCCAAGTTTCACAGAGATGAAGAGAAGGAGGAAATTGATCCAGAATCACAGGACCAGGTCCTTAAAAACACAGAAGCTAGAGGTGAAGAATAGAAAGAATACTCTGCTCAGAGGAATGTAAGGGATGAACAGAATTGGAGGAAGAAATAAAGAGGCCATAGGGCTAAATGTAAGCAACAGTAATTTAAACTAGGCTTTGACATGAATAGAGTGCCAGTGAAGAGTTCTGTGGTATAACAAGACATGAGAATAGGATGGCACATTCAGAACAGCCCAAATGGCACTTTTCTGCACTACAATAGGGGACAGAGAGAGGAATCAGAAATACCTGCCAGGAGAATATTTTAGTAATTAGTAATGACACAGCTAAAGCATGCATCAATAAAATGTAGTATCTTTTGTTAGAACTCCTGGATCCTACACACATACATCAAATGAAAATTACTTATTCTTAGTGTAAGTTTAATAAGTGGCACAAAGTCAGCTGATCATCAGTCAAGACTCTGAGATTGTTAGTGAAGGAAACTGGGGCAGTTTGGAAGCCCTGGGGACAAATGGGGGAAGACACAATAGAGGTTGGGAAGCACATTCAGGCCAAAACACAATGATGTGCATCTTAGCTATATTCAGTCTGAGGCGATGGGAAGACATCCAAGGGGAAACAATTATAAGACAATCTGTCATGGCTGACTATGCATTGTTATCAAGGGCCACAAAAGATTGGTAGACTGAATATAATCAGCATAATAATGATGATAAAAAACTTGAACATGAAGCAGAATACTCAAGGGAAAAGTATGAAGGGCAAACAAAATAGGTTCTAGGACCGATCTCTCAGGGATACATGAAATAAGAAGAAATTCCCAAGACTACCATGCAATACTGCAAAACAACAAGAAGGGGGTGGGGGGGAAGGATCAATGAAGTACACAGTCAATGATATCCAGGGATCGTAACCTAGATAGCTGTATCTAATAGTCAAGCTTATTAAATACTACTGTCAGATCAAAAAAGACCAGCACCAATATAAGGATTGGTCCTTGGCCACCGAATTATCATTTAGAATTCAAGAAAGTGCTGTCTCAGTTGGATGGCCTGCTTGAAATCTTGCTTGATATCAATTGAGCAGGCCACTAGAAGACAAGTGAAGAATCAGTTGTGAGAAGGTAATTCTTTCAAAGATGTTAAGTAAAAAAGGAAGCAAAGATATAGACCAGTAACTCGATCACAAAAAGGGATCCTGGGAGAGCTTGAACTTTAGCTTGTTTCTTCCCATCATAGATTTCCCCTCATAGCCTCTAAGCACTGGGTCAGGACTTCCACAGCAACTTTGGCCCAGCCTGAAATAGAGGTGTATTTCTGAGTATTGATTATATCTACTCTTTTAGTTTTTGAATTCACTCTTGCTATCTTTCTCTTTGTATAGGTGAATAATAAGCATTCTTCCAACTGTCAGGCATGAATGCGGTCTTGACACATACTCTAAAGAAATCACACAGCCACTCCATAAGCAAGCCACATCTATATTTTAATATTTCACCATTTATCCAATGAAATGTTAAATCTGTCTACATCTGCAATATTCTTACAGCATGTGTGATTTTTTTGTTGCCATCTCTTCTTGGACATTAACATTTATTGCATTCCATTATTTGACAACATTATAAATCCTATTCACATCTCTAAGATACTCCTTTTAATATTCCCTTGCTTCAGGTTCCTCCCAAATCATTTCATCACTTTTATTCTTAATTGCATTCATTCTGCTAGGGACTCCTTGTTAGCCTTTTTCACCCACTTCCAAAATAGTTTTTTGTTTTCATTTCAATTATTTTCTTTGCCACTTTCAGCTTCAGACACTGAAACAGGAGCTGACAGGAAAGGGTTAATTTCAGCTCTTCTAGCTAAAAGGAGGGCTTAAAAATTCTCTCATGGGGAAACTCTTCCCTATATTATTATATTATATTAATACTGCTTGGTACAGCAGATCTAGGCTGCATACATTAGCCATATAAAAGAGATGTCCTACATACTACCGTATGCTTAAAACAGTAAAAAAGTAAAACAGTAAGAAAGAGAAAAATTCTTTCAGTCTTTTTCTCAGCTCCATCTTAGGGCTGAGATCAAATAAACCCCCCAAAAAGAAGGATGGTTTCTTTGTCCCAGAGGAAGGATTGAAGATTTAGAAAGCAGGGAGATTCAGCAGCAGCTTCATAGAAGCAAGTACATGATCTTGTCAACCATGCCAAAGCAGTCTGCAGTTGATGGCAGTGGAAGGCTGGAAGTTTCAGCCTCCAAAAATACAGAGAAGGCAAGCAGTAAAGCTGGCCTCAAGCTATCTGCACCAGATGGCACCAACTGTTCAGACCTTCTGGTGGTTACCTTCTTTACAGATGGATTAGCCACTGGGTGGCCCCAATTGCAACAACTGTCCAGTAGCCAGATTACCACAAGGTTGATCAACAGCCACTACGTCTATACGGAAAAGGATTGCCAAAAACAGCATTTTGTTGGAGATGTAATAAGGACAATGCCTCTTTAAAGCATATGTTTTTACAATGTCCTATGCTTACTAAGTTTTGAGATAAAGTAGTGGACTATATAAATATGATTGTGTGACTAGCACAATTTTCAGAGGATAATATTCCATTGAACTATATACCTAGTACATGGAACTTGACAA